AATCTGATCATTCGGTCGGTAAATATTGAGCGATCGAGCATCATGCCATATGAGGTAGGTTTTTAGGAAAAGCCGCGAATGGAACAGTTGTGTAAGATTTGTCCCCCAAGGTGCGCTCACGTCGACAACGCAACAAGGACGAAGCTTGATCCCGACAGGTATAAGTGTGTGTATCTTGTATGCACAGAAAACAGAAGGCATACCGTGTCTTCGACATGGTAGCGTCTATTGCCAGGTAGCACAAGCACTTAGGCTTGACGAGCGTGAAGTGAACGGTATATAGGATACACTGTACCCAGGATAAGAAACGATCACATATGCTACCAAAGAGAGGGATGCAGCAGTAGCCCCGATTCTGGTTGAAGATCGTCCGTAGTCGATCGAATCCATTGAGATCGTTGAGATTTGTGCACGATTATACGATGAATGAAGTCGGGTTGAAGCTGGATACAAGTCTGCAATAGCCTCTGGCACTGAAAGATGAGACGCCGAACTGGCAAAATAGCGTGCCCTTCGACCATTTAAGGTGATCGTTTGGCATTCCGTCTGCGGACAGAACAAACAATGCGTTTTTCGGAGACAATGGCTTGGGAATGAATGATGAACAAAGGTCAGACGAGATCAACGGTCCGCCATTCCATAAGCGTGAAATAAACGATAAGATCGGTTACTTGCTGACGCAGTATTAGCATACATGGTATGGATCGACGGCGCTCCAGACACTCCCGTACGCTGGAGCAGTCACAAGTAATGAGGCAATGACGTGGCGGGAAGCAATGACGGCTGAGCTGCTATAACACGAAAAGAATGGTACTTGCTCGCTTGTATGCCAGAACAGCTCTTTCGATTGAGTTTCGTTTTTAGCCCAATAGTCTAACGAGAGTGGTTGGATTATACGCTGACGGCACGGTTGGTGGCTAAGGGGGTTTAAGCAAAAGTAAGGTGTAAATTTCTCGGAGACGTACCCCGTGGTGAATATAAGCTCCATTCGCGGTCTCTCGGCGGTATCAATCGCAGAAGCTTTTGAGATGCAGGTACAGCATTTCTAAACCGCGAACTGTAGGGCCGTGGATACATGGAGGTAACGTCCGATATTAAGTACGCTGGAGATCAGTTACGTCTACTAAATAAGGTTACCTGTGGGTTAAAGCAAGCAGCATTTGTCTAGAACAATGCTATACGCGGTGTTACTGTGAAGAATGGTTTCGACGGCTGTGGTGCGGATAAGTGCGTGTATGTGAAGCGTTCCATAAATTAGCTTCATATACGGCTATCTGTACGTGGACGATATGATAGTTGCAGCCAAGACCCATGCTGAGACCCGCGATATTAAATATGCTCATAGGAACGCTTTAAGCTGTCTTGGAGACGAAGAGCGACCTCAACAAGAGTGCTGGAAGGCTGATGGTCAGGCAGA